CGACGTTGGGATTTGACGTCAATCTGACGTTGGGATCTGACATCAATCTGACGTTGGGATGTGACGACAATCTGACGTTGGGTTCTGACGTCAATCTGACGTTGGGTTCTGACGTCAACCCGATTGTCATTTTCAACCAAATTACAACGTCTGTCTGACGTTGGTGATTGACGTCAATCTGACGTTGGGTTCTGATGTCAATCTGACGTTGGGTTCTGATGTCAACTCGATTTTCATTTTCAACCAAATTACAACGTCAATCTGACGTTGGGTTCTGATGTCAATCTGACGTTGGGATCTGACATCAATCTGACGTTGGGATGTGACGACAATCTGACGTTGGGTCAGCGTCAATCTGACGTTGTGTTCTGATGTCAATCTGACGTTGGGTTCTGATGTCAACTCGATTTTCATTTTCAACCAAATTACAACGTCAATCTGACGTTGGGTTCTGATGTCAATCTGACGTTGGGATCTGACATCAATCTGACGTTGGGATGTGACGACAATCTGACGTTGGGTTCTGACGTCAATCTGACGTTGGAATCTGATGTCAATCTGACGTCGGGATCTGACATCAATCCGACGGGATGTGACGACAATCTGATGTTGTGTTCTGACGTCAATCTGACGTTGGGATATGACGTTGGGTTCTGACGTCAATCTGACGTTGGGATATGACGTTGGGTTCTGACGTCAATCTGACGTTGGGATCTGACGTCAATCTGACGTTGGGTTCTGACGTCAATCTGACGTTGGGTTCTGACGCCAATCTGACGTTGGGATCTGACGTCAATCTGGCGTTGGGATGTGACGACAATCCGACGTTGGGTTCTGACGTCAATCCGACGTTGGGTTCTGACGTCAATCTGACGTTGGGATCTGACGTCAATCTGACGTTGGGATGTGACGACAATCCGACGTTGGGTTCTGACGTCAATCCGACGTTGGGTTCTGACGTCAATCCGACGTTGGGATCTGACGTCAATCCGACGTCGGGTTCTGACGTCAATCCGATGTTGGGATCTGACGTCAACCCGATTTTCATTTCCAACCAAATTACAACGTCAATCTGACGTTGCGTTCTGACGTCAATCTGATGTTGGGATCTGACATCAATCTGACATTGGGATGTGACGTCAATCTGACGTTGGTCAACCAAATTGCAACGTCAATCTGACGTTGGGTTCTGATGTCAACTCGATTTTCATTTTCAACCAAATTACAACGTCAATCCGACGTTGGGTTCTGACGTCAATCTGACGTTGGGTTCTGATGTCAACTCGATTTTCATTTTCAACCAAATTACAACGTCAATCTGACGTTGGGTTCTGATGTCAACTCGATTTTCATTTTCAACCAAATTACAACGTCAATCTGACGTTGGGTTCTGATGTCAACTCGATTTTCATTTTCAACCAAATTACAACGTCAATCTGACGTTGGGTTCTGATGTCAATCTGATGTTGGGTTCTGATGTCAACTCGATTTTAATTTTCAACCAAATTACAACGTCAATCTGACGTTGGGTTCTGACGACAATCTGACGGTGGGTTCTGACGTCAATCTGACGTTGGGATCTGACGTCAATCCGACGTCAGGTTCTGACGTCAATTCGACATCTGGATCTGACGTCAATCCGACGTTGGGATATATACAGGTGCATCTCAATAAATTAGAATGTTGTGGAAAAGTTTATTTATTTCGGTAATTCAACTCAAATTGTGAAACTCGTGTATTAAATAAATTCAATGCACACAGACTGAAGTAGTTTAAGTCTTTGGTTATTTTAATTGTGATGATTTTGGCTCACATTTAACAAAAACCCACCAATTCACTATCTCAACAAATTAGAATACTTCATAAGACAAATAAAAAAAAAATATTTTTAGAGAATTGTTGGCCTTCTGGAAAGTATGTTAATTTACTGTACATGTACTCAATACTTGGTAGGGGCTCCTTTTGCTTTAATTACTGCCTCAATTCGGCATGGCATGGAGGGGATCAGTTTGTGGCACTGCTGAGGTGGTATGGAAGCCCAGGTTTCTTTGACAGTGGCCTTCAGCTCATCTGCATTTTTTGGTATCTTGTTTCTCATTTTCCTCTTGACAATACCATAGATTCTCTATGGGGTTCAGGGCTGGTGAGTTTGCTGGCCAGTCAAGCACACCAACACCATGGTCATTTAACCAACTTTTGGTGCTTTTGGCAGTGTGAGCAGGTGCCAAATCCTGCTGGAAAAGCATTGGATAGCTGGCCAATCAGAGCACACCTCGTTTTTCAGACCGATGAGTTTTGTAAAAATCGACGCGTTTCAGAAAGGCGGGACATAGAGGAGAAACAATAATGTACAGTATGTGGAAAATAATGTTTTTTGAACCTTAAACCGCATAAACACATTTCATTACACCAAATACACAAAATAATGTTCTTTTTAGCAACATCATATGACCCCTTTAACTTTTTATTCATCAAAGAATCCATAGTATCACGTTCCAAAAAAAATATTAAGCAGCACAACATTGATAATAAATCAGCAAATTAGAATGATTTCTGAATGATCATGTGACACTGGATTAATGACTGTTGAAAATTTTATTTCACAATATTAAAAAAAAAATTCTGTATTTTTGATCATGCCTTGATGAGCATAAGAGACTTCTTTAAAAAAAAAAAAACATTAAAAATCTTACTGATCCCAAATTTTTTATGGAAGTTGAGGGAAGTTTCCTGTCTGAATATCTCAGTATAAAAAACAGGCAATCTCTGTTTTAGTTTTTCTTTATTGCCAGAAACAAGCGGTTCTGGTAAACCATACACTTTACACACAAAAATAGTCTATTTATTTAAAAATGCAATCAACACCCATTAGTGCAGCTATGAATTAAGCACAGAGATTGTGCTTTTTGTCAAGCTGTGAAGAGCCCAGTGATCTTCGGTGCTGCATGAAGCCTTCTAATTGGCCGCGGCTGAGCCACCTCACACATTCAGCTTGTTAAATCTGAAAAGTCTGTCGCTGCCCTCAGGCCATTTGTCTCTGGAAATTTACAGGCCACAAACTCACAGACATGGTTCAAAACATTACTTCCGCTGACACATTAGTACTAAAATTGCTGTGTGTTCAGAAACTGAGCAAACTAATTTTAAGACATGGATACAAAGATGCAAACACAAACACAGCATCTACACAACACTGCTAGAGTTATCAATGAGGATTGCTTTTTTTATTTAAACTTGGGAAGCTCAAGAACTGTGCTTGGTATGTTTCTGGCTATTGCTTTCATGATATGGAGATTCAGTTTTGTGCTCATGGCTAGCTAGAAATAAATGATCAACATGATCAAATAATATATATATATATATATATATATATATATATATATATATATACAGTATATATATATATAACATTCAACATTATAGAACTTTAAGATGAAATATCACTTCAGCAGTGTTAATGTACTCTGATAAAAGAAACCACAAGACAAATATGACACTACTCATATTAAGAGCAGTGCAATACATTGGTATGCAACATAAAAATTAAATGTTTGTTATTAATTCATTTCCATGGATAGACAGCAAGCTCATAGATAGATACAGCAGCTTTGCTAGTGCTCTTACAGTGGAGGTCCATGGAGAGTATAATTGCATGTTTGTATGCAGATATTTACTAAGTTATTTTGCGCTGAACACACTGAATATTTGTTTCTTGTTTCGGAGGGCAGCATGTTTATTAATGATGCCTGATGGATAGTCTGTCTCCCAAATGTTCCTGTTCCTGGGACAGCTGACAACATTATGGATAAATTGATCTATTATGGACAAATTGACTTCTTCCTACTTTGGATGATGAAATTGCACCACATGTCTCCGAAGTGAGTAGGGTAAATTTATATTGCTTTGGTCTGACTACATGCCAAGCTAGATGGAGTAACTGTGTGTGTGTTTCACTATCCTTATGGGGACAAAATGTCAGAAAATATCCCCACAAGGATATCTGTAAGTGTGTCTGAAAGATGACTATGCAAGTCTAGGCAGTCTCAGAAAGAACAGCCATCACCGTGTCGGCCTGCTTAGCCAGCTTTGTGCTGGTGTGAGCGGACAGTTTGGACAGGGTGTCCCACAGGTTTAGAAACGTTATCTGCTCCCTTAACATGCCTGTAGGAGAAAAAGAAGAGGGTGAAGAGTAACACACAGTTTAGTTCAAAACCAGGGCTTGCTATTAGGGATGCATTCAATGATGATTGCTTTTTTATTTAGACTAAGGAAGCTCAAGAACTCTTCTTGATATGTTTCTGGCTATTGCTTTCATGATATGGAGATTCAGTTTTGTGCTCATGGCTAGCTAGAAATAAATGATCAACATGATCAAAGAATCTGCATTTAAAAGCCCTACACCAGAAAACTATAGTAAGGCCAGCTATGATATGAAAATATACGTTACAACCCAATACATACTCTTTACTAACAAGAAACCACAAGACAAATATGACACTACTCATATTAAGAGCAGTGCAATACATTGGTATGCAACATAAAAATTAAATGTTTGTTATTAATTCATTTCCATGGATAGACAGCAAGCTCATAGATAGATACAGCAGCTTTGCTAGTGCTCTTACAGTGGAGGTCCATGGAGAGTATAATTGCATGTTTGTATGCAGATATTTACTAAGTTATTTTGCGCTGAACACACTGAATATTTGTTTCTTGTTTCGGAGGGCAGCATGTTTATTAATGATGCCTGATGGATAGTCTGTCTCCCAAATGTTCCTGTTCCTGGGACAGCTGACAACATTATGGATAAATTGATCTATTATGGACAAATTGACTTCTTCCTACTTTGGATGATGAAATTGCACCACATGTCTCCGAAGTGAGTAGGGTAAATTTATATTGCTTTGGTCTGACTACATGCCAAGCTAGATGGAGTAACTGTGTGTGTGTTTCACTATCCTTATGGGGACAAAATGTCAGAAAATATCCCCACAAGGATATCTGTAAGTGTGTCTGAAAGATGACTATGCAAGTCTAGGCAGTCTCAGAAAGAACAGCCATCACCGTGTCGGCCTGCTTAGCCAGCTTTGTGCTGGTGTGAGCGGACAGTTTGGACAGGGTGTCCCACAGGTTTAGAAACGTTATCTGCTCCCTTAACATGCCTGTAGGAGAAAAAGAAGAGGGTGAAGAGTAACACACAGTTTAGTTCAAAACCAGGGCTTGCTATTAGGGATGCATGATATTATCGGAACGATATCGGAATCGGCCGATAATGGCTTAAAATGTAAACATCGGCATTGGCCCGATATGAAAAATTATGCCGATATGCCTTGCCAATAAGAGGAATAACTCACATGTGCTCAGGGTGTGCTAGCAATAAGATTACATCAGCAGATATGGTCATTCTTGAAGCAAACTTTTGCCTGAATGGTGATTAGATTAGTTGTTTTGAATAATGCGTTATTTGTGCGAGAAAGTCAACAGTCACTAGCGCGCACAACAGCAGCAGCGGCAGCCTCCCCCGGGTCCTAATGCTCCTCCTGTAAGTCGTTTTATTTACTTAGGCGGCGCTGTTGGCCTACTTGTAATAGAATGAAAGTAAAATGTGTTTCTGATTAAATTAAAGGTGCAGTAGGAGATCTTGGAAAATGCTAACTTTAGCCTGATAGCACTAAAAGCGAACGTCCCACCCTCCCTGCAATCGCCGTCCAAAGCCACGCCCCCTGAACGCATTTAC